ATATTACAATGATTGAATGCTTGCAGTTTTTATATGTTTGCGTTTGTAGGTATTGAGGAGCAAGGAGAGGATCCTGATTGCCCTACGTAATGGGGAAAATGTAATGTTGGACCATATGCTAAGGTCAGGTCAAAGCCTAATGGTTCATTGTCAGCTGGTATAGAATGACATGGATTTGGGTATGGTCGTTGTCACGCCGCTAAAGTCGCCATTGGACAATGCTTGAAAGACATCCAAAACTGTCTCAGACTGTTTTCAGGAATTCGAGGAGAATTAAAATGCAACATCCTTCGAGCAACTATCATCCTGCTGCTCCGGTCTGCCGAAAACTGTGGGACGAGATACCGTACGAATAATAAACAACGTGCAAGCCCACTAGAGAATGACATAACGACGAATCTACATAAAACAGGCGTAAAAGGGCTCTTGTATCGCGGTTGGACACGAAACACACGGTATAATAAAGAAGCGAATCAGGAGATTGCTGTGAGAACGATAGAAGGAGGAGAAGAAGAGAAAAGAAGAGACACGAGAAGGAAGAAACGAAGAGGGAAAGGATTCTGTTGCAGTTCATAGCGAGTTAGGTGGCAAAGGTTTTAAGGCGAAGGCGAGATAAAGAGACAGGGTGAGTAGTCGGCAGATGAAAATTTCGTTTCTTTCACCTACACACACCGACCTCGAACAAACGACCTCCGATTGTAAAAACGATGAAGCAAGAAATTAGCTTTATGAACTGGAAGAAAAAACAGGGAAGGGAGAGAGAGAGAGAGAGAGAGAGGAAGGAGACTGGAAAGAAAGAGAAAGAAGACCGTGACCACGGATCTGGACCTTCTCCAAAGCTACAGAAACTGTCGGTCGTGTTGCCGGTTGTTAGAGCCGTACAAAACCAAGATTTTAAAGTCGACAACAAAGTGCCGCAAACTGGGACGCAACGATTTCGGTCTCCGCGTTCGGTCATTCGTTATTAACGTTTTCAGGACTTTATTCCGTTCTCTCTGCCCTTTCTTCCCTCGCCGACTTTATCCTCCTCTTTATCTCTGTCTCTTTGTCTCTTGCGTCGGATGTGTATTTTACTGCACGTAAAAACCGAACCTATAACGCGTTCAGCGTGCCTGATACATGCAACACGCGTAACTTCTTTTTATGTTTCATACTCGCCACTTTTATTTCTTTTTTTTCTTTTCTTCTTCGGGAGTTGGGAGGGAGAGAGGGAGGGCAGTGTCTTCGACAGTTTCGTTCCAACTCGGTGAAAATTCTTCAATGCCGCTGCTTCCAGCGAGAGGTCAATGTTCTGTCGTTTATCAACCAGCAGATTTGTACAAAATTGGGATATGCAGCTGTCAGACGCATGTAAAACACGCTGCGCGCATTCCATTGGTAGAATTCGCTGTTAATACCTCGTTTTATCCGCGTCTCTCACCGCTGCGAACGTTTAAATGTTAATCAAGTTGATTCGACGTGTTTTTGGTTACTCGGTGCTCACTGTTGAATCGCGAAATTCATTAATTTTTAAGGAGATACTCGGACTACGTAATGAGAATACTTCGAAGATACTTGGATGGTAATTTAACACTAGAACTACCACACCAGTAAAATTGACTGGTTTTACAATTTTATTTTAAAATTCCTACTTCATGTTATATTTTTTTCCGCAATGATGTAATGACTTTCGCAACGATAACCAAAAGAATAATATAATGAATTTTATTTTGTTTTTTATGTATTCAAGTTTCAAATACCAATAGTGAAAATGACTGGTACTTGATGCTAACACTAGAAATCCCACAGCAGTCAAAATGACTGCTTCTACAATTTCATAAATGTGTCAACCCTCGTTGGTAGAAATAGCTTCGTGTTAACTATCGGTAGTTCTAGTGTTAAGTAATAAGTTTCATTGATAGGAGTAATTTTCGCTTAGCGCAAAATCAGTTTATCTTTTAACGTGCGTCATAGTGGAATGATATTTCAATTTCAAGAAATTTGTAAAACACTATGTTTTGTTAACAGAAGGTTGAAGAGTGTTAAACTACATCTTTAGATGATTTATGGTGATGTAGGAATAGGTAGGCATATGTATGATTTAATTATGCTTTTGAAACAGACCATCTGAATAACTTTCTTGTTCCTGTACAAAAATATTTCATACCGCGTATGCCGAATTAAATATGCAAATCTTTTAAATAAATTGATTTGCAAACGACTTAATGTGCCAGAGAATAAGATGTATTTGAAGCTTTTTTTTCTTATTAGAAGAATGAGAAACGCACTAGAAATTGCGAATGAAGCGTGTGCTATTTCTAGAGAAGATGCTCGCCATGAAGGGATTGTCTGTTAGTGACTTGCTAGATTTAAAACTGATCATTCGAACTTTGATGATGAAAACCTGCACGATCTAAAAACTGCCGACTGAAGGCAATAAATAAAAAGCTATGGTATTAAAAATAAATCTATTTTCTAAGATACAGAGTCGTGAATTACTTGAAAATCGACATGATGTATTTTAAACATAAATTCAGCTTATATGAGTGTGATGGTCCAACGAATGTAAGTTGGTCAGTACCATTAACATAGTATCATAGTATCATTGAAGAGATACAGAAGCATTCGAAAATCAAAGACAGAATGACTTCAGAGTTCAAAGAGCAACGACAGCTGCATAAATTTACATTGCAAATAATTCAGAACATTTTGATGTAATTTAAATAAAAATTTCGTTGCAAATATCCGTAGAACAATTTCTCGGAAGAAAAGTAAATTTCGTGAATTCGGTGAATTAGCGTATCGTAATACTTAATGGCCTCAATTTCGCGGAGTATCGCAATTGTGGCTCATGCTCAAATTGCACTCTAAATTACACACTATAATCGCCTCTAGGCGGAACGAGCATGAAACTAATCCCGAAACTTGTTTCAAGCTAGATCAAACGTGTTTACCCAGTGTAAAGGAAGAGTCGAACATATTTGTCGATGTCTGGGCTTGCAAAGTTCCAAAAGTTAGGATCGAACGCAGAATTATATGAAATAATATAGTCCGTTTGTGTATGCTTGTTTATTATACCGTAATTTATTTATGTTACTCCAAGTTCAAAGTATAAACACGTTAAAAAGATTGCAAAAAGCACGAAACAGTTTTAAAAAATTCTTCAAATTATTTTTCCATGAAGGAGAACAAGTGGTTTAATTGTGTAGAATGGTTTGCGCTTTAGATTTTTCAATGACGATAAAACAATTATTCCTATTCACTGTAATATAAATCCAAATGATGTCAGTTTGATCACAACGTGTTTGATAAGAACGTTGATAAAACATCAATAAAAGCGAATGAAATCTCCCAGTAGTAGTTTCAGGTTTGAAAGTTAAAGGTCGACATTTAGTCTTCAACTCTTTGGTTATTTGCAGAGCAGGTTTAACAGCTCCACAGAAATATGGGCAGTAAACATAGCAAGCACATTAAAAACTTATTAATATAAAGGATGGAAATTTTGAAATAATATTGCTCGCTGGCTATATATAATGAAAGAAATATCTTTGTACGAATAAATGAACGCGTAACGAATTGTAAAATGAAATTTATTACAATACATGAAATATCCATATTTCGTTTGATTTTAGAGACAGATTAAAAAGCCTTCGTGTAAAATGCTGTCTGCGAAAGCCGTGTATTTTTTGAAAACTTTAGCAGCGTGATCGTCGACACACTCGTTTCGAATTAATATCGCCAATGCACATTATAAACGTTTCGTTCGAATAGCGTGTCTACCTGTTCAGAATAAGGTGGGCCGCACGGTCCATTTGTGTGATAACCCAGATCCGAAAACAAAAACCTTTTGTTTGGCGGTTGAATATCGCGATGACGCACTTTGATAATCAGGAAGACTTTCGACAACTCGCATTCCGATAAGGTGCAAGGAAAATGAAACCGGCGCAACGAATGAAAACGGGCCACTCTTTTCGCCATTTTTTCTACATCCAAACATATATACATATGTATAGTTTTCGCCACTCTAATCAGCAATTTTAGTTCTATGCTGAAAAGCTATAAAGGAAAGTACGAGAAGCAAACGAAACCGCGTGTTAAAATCCTTTTCTTTTCTAATGTGCACGCGATTACGATTATTATTATTATCTGTTATTATTATTATATTATTATCTATAATTATTATTATGATTCTTATTATTACCTATTGTTGTTATTGATATTATTATATTTGTAATTATTGTTATGATTACTATTATTACCTATTATTATGATTATTATTATTATCTATTGCATTCTACGATTCTTTTGATTTTAAGAGGAAAATATTTAAAACGGTTGTGCATATGAGAGTTTGAGCATTCTTTGCATAATTTTTCCATACAAGCTGCTTTAACCCCTTAACCTATGATTTACGTTCGAGAATGCCCGTAATATTTACGTTTGGTCCGATCATCGTATTACGGGCTATGCCCGTAGTTGTAGGTTAAGGGGTTAAACAAATTACATTAGAAATTAGCAGGTGATCAATTAAGAAGACGATGAATTATGTTATGAATTTTGTTATGAAACACACATATCTGTGGTTTACATATCGCTGCCATTTTTCATTTGTAAATATACGTACAATGACTGTAAAGTACAAATACAGTTGCATTTTATGTGTGACATATAGCGTTGACGTCCTTTATTTGTAAATATCCGTACAATGACTGTAACGTACAAATGCAATTATATTTCATCTGTGATATATATCGTTGTTGTTGTTTCTTATTTGTGCAATGTACAATGTATTGTAATGTATAAATATACAGTTTAACCCCTTAACCTACAACTATGGGCATAGTATGTAGTACGATGATAGGACCAAACGTAAATATTACGGGCATAGCTCGTAGTACGATGGTCGGGCCAAATACAATATATAATATAATATATAATAGCTTGTTTACGTTTGCGGATCAAAATTCTCGAACGTAAATAGTAGGTTAAGAGGTTAAGTATGTGAATTCAATAGTTTCTCTTCTATACTAGGTTGCTATATTATACCGATAAACGCTAACAATTGTAAATTTTCAAAGTTCTGTATATTTTGTATTTCACATTGTATAAAAATGTTTTTTTTTTTATTTAGATGAATTTTACAATCAATTCTCATTGAGAATTACAAGTAAATTTTTCTGGCGTGTGAAGTAGCTTTGTGTCGTTTAGGACATTTCACGTTGAAAAGACGATCTCTGAATGCGAGACATATAATTCTTTTTAAAATTTTTATAAATAATGCTAAATTACATTCTATTGTAATTTTCATATTGGTAGAAACAATGCAAGATTTATTACCTATTGTTAGCAGCATTCGATAAATGGCAGAAGTACAGATGAATTACGACTTGTTCAACCCATATTTTAATATATTCAGCGCACAAACTGAATAATCGACCTCGTCTAGAGACACAGCATTTTTCCGTGATGGAATCTCATCATCATTTGCCTGATGGATGGCTTAAAGTCGTAGAAAGCAGCGGCAAATATTTAACTCGAACTACTTGTATTTTGTTTTAAACAAACTTTGAGTTTCACTGAAATATTTCGATTATTCGTCAGAACACCTAATGAACTGATAAATTAAATTGTTAATCGCTTTTTGCGATTGTTTAATCTAAAGCTCCGCCTAACGCTCTCTGTATATTTTTCCCTTTTTCATTAGTCAGATTGCCAAAAGTCGCATTTATAATTTCCAAATGTTTCTCAGGATCGCGCGTGTTTATATTTAAACTAATAAAATCGTATGCAGAACGCGGCACTTTTCAGTGGCTACGTTGAATCTTGGAAAATATTATACGGGACAATCGGAGTTGAGTCGTTTCGTGTTATCGCCGGGAACAGCGGCCGCATGAGAAGTAGAAAGATCAGAGTTAAATCAGACTGTGTAAAGTCGGTCGGTTTGATCACTCGACACGAGAACACCGCGCCATTAAATTGGAATCGCGAACAGATACCTACATATATCCGGCATGTGACACAAAATTTTGATGATAAGAAAGACGATGCGGAGCGGAGGAAACGACGTAGAAGGCGAAACGACGAATAGCGGGAAATCGAAAGGGGGACAACTCGGCCATAAATCCCACGCTGTAGAGGCAAATCACTGGCGTGGCAATAAAACGCACGTGTATAGTTCCCTTTATACTAATCCCAGTAACAGAAGTAAGTCTTACGATTTACGTAGTTTACATTGCATTGTTGTACATTGTAATGGAAATTTACAACGTAATTTTATGTCACGCTATATATCGCAGAATGTAGTTTATAGACTGGACTTTTACGGAAATTCATATTTTTCGCGATATAATTAAGAAACTTAAGCCTTTCTAAAGGTAGAAAATTGTTCTGCTTACCAGGTATTACAGAAAACACTATGTTTTGGATATTTTATATTTTTTTTCATATTACGTGAATGTTTTGTAATTTTGCGAAGAATTCATAAAAATTCGCAAAGTCTCGTAAATTAAGTCTATAGGAAATATCCTTCGAGCCTCGGATAAAATTATTGTTTTTGGTGTTTCATACGAAGAGATACATAATGCGTATCTTTGTTTATTTTCTGATAGTATTTAAAAATGTTCTTTAACGGAGAGACGTACTTGCAGGAACGATGGTGCGTTGTAAAAAGTTTTTAATCCTTAGTTTATACCCGCTGATTTAATCTGCTTATTTAAAAAGTTACTGGGAAGTTGTAAAATAAAAGCATTTTTATTTTCTTCCTAACAAATTCCCTTTTATCTCTCCACTTATTAAAATAATCCCTCTTTTCATTAAAGTACACTAAAGATTAAATATTAGAGAAATAGGTTCATTATATCCATGTTCGTAAATTCAAAAATATCTTCTTCGCATTTTGTGAACACCGAAGACATCAATTCAGGCAAAATAGCGTCGTAGTACAGGTCTAACAAAATTTCAAAATACTTTATACGTATAACAAGTACAAAATGAATATAATGTTTCCTGTGATCAGTGTTCACAGACTATAGTGAGCCACTGTGTATTTACGTAACATTCTTTTTTTTATTTATGTCCATAAAATATAGCAAAAAGTTTGGCTGGAAAAGCGTGAAACACGTACAGCGGTATATTTCAATGATTATCATGGTGTACAATGGAACCCAATCATTATATGCACACTTTGGACTGCAAAATTTCAAAACCACAAGGCGTAGATTAAAAGATGAAACCGGTGCTTAGAGTCTACAGAGTTGGAAGATAGTGGGATATTGAAGCAACGAGGAAAGCCATTACCAATTCTCTAGAACATTCAGGTATTCAACATGTTCTCGCTGTGGGATTGCCTGATCAGGCTGTGAGAAGAGTTTTATACGAAAATCCTAATTTCCCTCCTCCGTGGAGAAACTCAGCGAACGTGACGTGCTTCCAAGATTCTGTAAGATGTATCGATAGTAACCAATAAATCAGATAGTTTTTAGAACGACGTGTCGAGGCAGTAAATCGACGAAGAAACGAAATCTTGAACATTGTTCTTATTAATCGTGTAAAAATATTCGAACATTGTTGTGTGTTGTTTTCTTCAGTGCCAAATTCGAGAGGTCGTTGTGCCGGATCTTATGTGGCTCGAACGAATACACACGATCCTTTACATCATTTTCTTAATCGTAATTTAGTTAATCGAAGAAATAGAAAATTCAGGATGTAAAAATTGTTGAAGTAATTTCTTCAAGAAACACTACACCTTTTTCTTTTGTATATCCGTGACCTGAAGACTGCTGTTACGAAGAGAATACAATTCAGTGAAAAAAATCCAAAATAAGGAGAAGTTCCAATTATTGTGTCGTTGAATATAAATTTTGTTTTGGGTTACAAGGACTAGAAACAAAAGAGCTATAAGTAGATTTCTATTGCTGTTTCTTGTAACCCTCAGCTACAGCTCCACACCAAGGTTAACTTTTTGATAATGTTCTTTGCTATAAATATATTCCTATTGTATTGTAACATTAAAAGAGTCAAAGAGATTTCTATTGCTGTTTCTTGTAGCCTTCAGCTACAGCTACACACCAAGGTTAACTTTTTGATAATGTTCTTTGTTATAAATATATTCCTATTGTATTGTAACATTAAAAGAGTGAAAGAGATTTCTATTGCTGTTTCTTGTAGCTCTCAGTTATAACTACACACCAAGGTTAACTTTTTGGTAATGTTTTTTGCTATAAACATGTAAACATACTCCCTATCCTTCTTCCATTGTATTGTAACACTGAAAGAGTGAGGATCTGGATTAACATACACTAAACCTTTACTTATACTTAGACCTATACCTTATACTTATAACTTATACCTGTTCCTCTGTCAGTCAACCTCAACAAAAATGTTCATACGAAACGAAATTTATAGCACACGTATTCCCGATGAATATCATTATACGTTATAAATACAGGGTGTTTCGTTTCGATCCCACTAAAGAGTGTCAGCATATTCTACGAATAATTAAAAATAAGAGAAAGATATTCCATAAACATGGAGCCGTAAATGTTTTATTACCAGGTTATAACAAAAATACCATGATTATAAATTAGTGTTAATACCAGCTATATACGTACGTAGCATTAGAACGCACAATGACATGACCAGTTCCAATGACCGCTAATAGTAAACACAAACAAGGAACCAGTCACCTATAATCTGGGTATCTTTGTCAAAACTCTGTAACAAAGCTTTTACGACCCTATGTTTAGTAACAACATTTTCTTCTTTTCTTTCTCAATCATAAAATATGCTGACACTGTTTGGCAGGGTAAAAATGAAACACCCTGTATAACAATATAATGAAACATTGTCTATACATGTTCATTATTTTCTGTACTTTTGTACTATGTTTTTCTATGCTTCTGAATGTTTGTACAACGATGCTGATGTCAATCCACGTCGACTAGTCTGTTTTTTCGCTCTTAGTTTGATCTAATCCCACGGATCTTGGGCTTGTCGTAAACGTTAAGACAGGTCTACGTAGGTACGTGAAGACTTCTTGACCTTTCGTGACCCCTTCTGTGACCTCTTCTGTAACCCCTTCTGTGACAGATGTCATCCCCATGTACTTCATAGTGGTCAGGGGTTGTAAGATCTAAACGTAAAAGTTTCAAAGCAAAGGGTTCGCTAGTCGTGCCGTTACTTTGCCAACATCAACTTGCAATGCACTTACAGAAAAATAAAAAAATGTAAGAGGCGACCTTGAATACAACATTACTCACGATATTCGATTATATATAGAATTCGTGCAATCATTGGAACCACGATACCAGCTGCCCATGCTCAATTCTACAATAAACCCAATTTTCCTAACTTGGCATATATCTCGTGCAATATCTCAAATACGTCGATCTTGACCTTCGCCCACGGGATGTTACCCGAACATTTCAGGTTCGTGATATCTCTGTAACTAAAGAAACTGCAGCATTGGAAGCACTGCCAAATGTATGGTAATTCATGGCTTTCGAGGCTCCAATTACGAAGATAATGTGTCCTCCGCAAATACTTTCGAAAGACAGTGGATTTTACTCATCCGTATCATAAACCTACCAGATTATTTTCATGTTCTGTGTATTTTAGTTTGCTCGAATGTCTGAATGCATCGTATAAAAAACTATTCGATTTGTTACTTTCTCTTGAATCTTGTTATTTAAAACGTAGATTTGAATAATATATATATTAATAATATTATAATATCATTGTAATATTTATTATAATATATAATATACATTATAATATTATATTACAATATTAATATAATAATAATTTATTAATTTTATTATATTAATATAATAATTTAATATAATAATATTATAATATAATATATAACATATATATTAAACATTATAAATATTATCCTTATATATAACATAATATAATTCCTGATATATAAATATAATATAATAAACATTATCCTTTTAATGTAACAGGATTAATTGAAGTTTATATAAACGAAACAAGAATTAGATTAAATAGAAAAAACTGGGTTCCTTTTTTCAGTTATTATATGTAGAATGTTTTGCAATTGGATATGAAATTGTATTATTATATAATAATATATTATATATTATATAATAATGAAATTGTTTCAAAACCTGTACCGGTGATTTGTAACTTTATTAATTTTTGAAAATCTGTAATTTAAAACTTAAGAATTTATGGAAATAACGTATCTGTAATTCGTAATTTGTGTTCGTAACAAAGCATGCAAATTGTATTGGAAAATAATATTTTCAAAGCTTCAAGTCGAAATGATAAGGAATAATACAAATAAATTCGTCGATAAAACAAATGAAGATTATAAAAGAATCGATTTGTTTTCAGACAGACTGAGAAAAATTAATTTCGTAACTTTCTAGATTACAAAATTATTAATAATTTCCTTTGACTTTAAGTCAAGCTGATTAAAATTTTGTCCGAACATTGAAATACTAATCCAAGAATTTCCACAGCTGAGAAACAAATATCTTAAATCCAATGTTTCGGAGAAATTGGCAACAACTTAGAAGTAAAAATCTGTAAATATAGTAAACTGGTAGATGTTATGCACTCGAATCTTCGTACGTATGCTTCCGGCAAATTCAATTTGGAATCGAATAGCAAGTCAAGAATATACATTACTTGTTTCTCCCTCTCGGTAATTCAAGACGTTTCGTGTATACATGGAATATGTAGAGATGTTTGCTTCTATACACGAAGATGAACGACGGTTACCAAGAAAAGTGGGAAATAGGGTGAAATATGTTGACAGCGAGACATTTCATAGGCTGCAACATTCTCTAAGATATTCGATATCAAATATTGGAAAATCTCTTTAAACCGGCAATGACATTGCATACATCCTCCTTCAAATTGAATAAAAACATCAGGTAATTTTAGTAGTAAATAAATCATTTTTATCTGATTTAATTTTTCTCTTACTTTTAGAGAGAATATTCTTTCACTGCTTAATTTTTGCAATATTTAATTATTATTATTTTGTCGTTATTTTTTACTCAAGCTATTCGGTATTATTCGATTAGTTGTTCTTTTAATTTCTACATATTGTGTTATACAGGGTGGTTGGTAACTGGTGGTACAAGCGGAAAGGGGCTGATTCTACGCGAAAAAAGAAGTCGAAAATGTAGAATAACAATTTTTCGTTTGAGGCTTTATTTTTGAGAAAATCGTCTTTGAATTTTCGCTCGGTACGCGTGCACTTTGTCACGTTTCGTTATAACGGACCTCACTGTAGATCGTTGTCTCGATGGAAAAATTAAAAAAAAATGTTTGTTCTATATTTTCGACTTCTTTTTTCGCGTAGAATCACCCCCCTTCCGGTAGAATCACCCCCTTTCCGCTTGTACCACCAGTTACCAACCACTCTGTATACATAATACATACATATTAATTTTATCGCGTATATGCCTATATGTTGTGTGATATCTATGTAAATAGAAACACCTAAGTATCTTTTATCTTTTATTTATGGCTTTAGGAAGACAGTCAGGACAAAGTTACGCTACTTGAAGGGACTCGTGTAACATTGTTTATACGTGTACAACTATGAGCAATGTTATTTTGTCCTAAAGATCTTTTTCATAAGATTTAGGACAAAATAACATTGCTCACAGTCGTATCTTTTTCATAAGATCGTTTAAGTTTTGAATTTCCATCCTATGATATAAAGTTTGCATCATCGATTTGAATTATTTCGTTTCAACATTTTAAATTATTCTGTTATTTTGTATTCAAAAAATTGTCAAGCAACTATATCGCTCTTCCTTTCCTTGTCCTTGTATAAATATATGATAAATTAAAGTGAAAAGTTAATTGCTTTCAATTTAAGAATTCTCATCAGCATACGTCACTTTTACAAGCTATCCAAGCTTAAAGTCTAATTTAGATTACAGGCAAGATATTGTCTGAAAGTTTCGTGCGAGTGTTTATAGTTGAGTCAATTAAAGATAATTTCCTGAAACGTCGAGACGTGGTTTGTAATTATGTCCCGCAGTAAAACATACAGTTTTCAGTTTTCCTTTCGAATGCTCCTTTTCGTTTCGACATTTATTAACGTATTAAAGTATATAGTAGTCTGCTTCTTTATCTTAGTTGCACGATTTTGTTCAATGGAAACCATGTTACGATTGGCTAAGCTAATACACCTGAAGATGGAAAGATATGTATAGCATAAAAAACAAAACTTTCTGCGATTTATTTATAACATCCTCACTTTATCATATCATTTGCTTGTAAAACAAATACCAAATATTTCAAAGTTAATGGATATTTATTTGTATTCGAGTAATCGTCGATTGGAAAGGATTAAAAAATTCAGAAGTAACATAAATGACACATTAACACTACACCTTGTCTCACTTTAAATAATGTATTTTAAATGTAGTTTTCAAGTTCATTCAACATTTCTTAGTTTCATATATAATCGATCAAAGCTGAACCATTGTACGAAATAAAAATACAGTACAACGAGGAAACTGTAGAAAGAATTTTAAGAAACCTGTTCTCAAACGATCTTTTTCTTCAACACTCGACAATACAATGAAATTTTGCATAGTGTTGCTCGGTCTCACGGACTGAACACAATATGCCGCCACAGGCATCTGCGAGTCTTCAGGCTGACCAAAATGGATCAAAACCACCCGAGTACCACTAAACACAAGAAGATCAAGTATATCGCATCTTAGGTAAGTTGAAGTGTTCTCAAGTGCCTTAGGAAAATCACAGTAATTGTAATCGCACTAATTTCCCTGTTCCAGGTGTGTTTCGCTTTCCAAATCCGCTCTCGATTCTGCGGAAAAATCTGCTAACAGAACTTCAGATCCACCGATAACGACAAATCGTACGATACAAGAATAGAGGCAGAGCATGTGAAACAATATCTTGGACAACGCAATTCAAATTCAGAAGTCAGAGGTTTCATCAATGGATGCTTAATACTAAAATTACCACACCGGTCAAATTGACTGGTTTTACAATTTTATTTTAAAATTCCCACTTTATGTTATATTTTTTTCAGATGTAATGACTTTCGCAACGATAACTAAAAGAATAATATAATGAATTTTATTTTGTTTCTTATGTATTCAAACTGAAAATAATTTTGTATCAAGGCTACTTATACCAATACCAATCAAAGCGACTGGTACTTGTCAAAGTGTAAAGGGTACTGCAATTAGTTCGTCGAACCCCAATTAACCAGTTTCCTCGTTTTGTACAACTTGCCACACGTTTTGAAAATTTGTACTGCGTGTCATTTCATATGATGATATCAGTTATCAGGAAAATTCTAGATGCTAACACTAGAAATACCACAGCAGTCAAAATGACTGGTTCTATAATTTCATAAATGTGTCAACCCTCGTTTAAGAATCCCAGATGGATGAATAACACCAAAAATCTATTACATAACGTGGAATTTCTTCTGTGAGAAAGTAATAAATTAATAAATATAAAAATATTCTATTATTACGTATTTTTTAAAGACCAGTCATTTTCACTGGCTTTGGTAGAAATATCGGTATCGGGTTAACTATCGGTAGTTCTAGTGTTAATATTCAGACAGGTACGCGTATAATTGGGCTATAGGCCGTTAACAAATGAAACGAAATTACGTTATGTCTGTCAGCCGCAACCTAACTTTCGCAAATAATATGAGAAAAGGCAAAGCGAAACGCGGCGATCGAACGCAGCGAGATTTACGCGTGCGTGAAATTCAATTGGAAAAATTGAATCGCTACAATAAACTAGATTTGATTTACAGGTTCGTGGAAGCGAGAAAAACTTCGATTCCCAGCGTATTTATCTCTGGGAACGAATAAATATTTTTTGTACGAAGGTAAAGTTTGCAGCTTGTCTGCAAACCACTTGACGTTTCTGCTTGGATGCAACCGCAAATACGCGGCGAACTCGGTGAACGTGTTTCCGGGCAAATGCGAAACTTGCGCCGCTCGAAGATCATATTGGAACCTTTGTACAGTACGATATACCGGAGAAGTCTGTGCTAACAGACGACTATTTGAATTATTCGGAATATGTTTCGAGCACTTACCTTATCGAGACGAGTATCATGGCGAATATCAGGTACTTTCCAAGCAGCGGCACGACCAGCGACGTAGGTGGAATGATCTCGACGACCAGCAGGAAAAACACGTGAAGGCTGATGAGAATGGAAATGGAGAGCGTGACCTGTAATGATAATTTATTCCCTTAAAACTAAATTTTGCCATCGATGAAATATCAAAGGCCATGCGTTTAAGTAAGACTTTTTTTTTTTATTTATTTATTTGAATTTTACAATTTGTCCAGTAGGACATTTGGTAAAATATTATAGCTTAGTGATATAGTATTATAACATGTGGATGATGGCTACCCCCAGCGGGGTACCATCATCGTGTTTGTTAGGTTATGCCCTTTGTGAGATCTGTTGGGTGTTTGCTTTTTAATCTTCTTTTTATGCTTGATGTGTCGACCGTTTCCGCTGCCTGCCGGTTTGGGTGCGTTGCTATTCTTGACTTTTGTAATGGCAGAAAATGTAGTTCATTATAGAGCGTTCGGTCGAGTTCTGTCTAAAATCTGCCCCGGACACTCTTTGGTCGTACATTACGTTTTAAAGGAAGCTCTAAAAGGAAGATCATGTTCGCGTGTGCTCCTGAAAGTACTTCAGGGTTCTTTGATTGATCCATTGATTTTACTGTTGAAAGTTTACTGTTACTCGATGATTTTATACAGATACGAAAAATTTCTCAAAAATTCATATTATCCGTGGACTGCAACTAATACATTGGTATACGATAGTTCGCAATATCAATTTGCATAATATATCTATAAATGTTAAGGGGGAGTGTCCTGAATTGGAATGTTCTAAAACAGCGTTTTTTGGTGATTTTTTTTAGAAGGGGAAGAAAGAAATGAAGTTATTGAATTTTGAGGTATGGTTATGTAGAGGATGAGTCACAGTCCGTGATGATTGTGGTTTGGTGGTTGTCGATGTCGCTGCTAGGGGTACTGCTATATTTTCTTCCTATTTAGAATCGTGGAATAAAAATCGGACTTTGGTCGCCGGGATTCGATCCCGCGTTCCGAACGTTCGTAACCTAATGCGCTAACCACTGCACTACCGTCGTCCGTTAGTTGTTTATGTCGAGTAGCGGTATTTGTGCTGTCGAGCAAAAAGAGCAATACAAAAAGATTTTTTTTTAAGTAAAAAAAAATTATAACAGATTTCTAAGCCAATTTCATGGGCGTCTGGTCGCTGTTGTCTTCAATCGGCGGGAAAGATCCACCTCGTAATTCTTCGCGGAAACGAAAAACCAAAAAAGGATTAAATTATTATATATTTTTCTTCTGGGTGAACTAAACAACGGCAGAGAGAAATGTGAAATTAAAAAATTTGGCGGGTTTAAAAAAAATTGTTCTTTAAAAAAAAATAAACTCTAAGATACTATAACAATTATTTAAATAAACTTTTTTTCTGCCGTTTTTCTAACTGTTTTTTTTAACTTATTATATAGAACAGAAATCCTAATTTCTAATATTCCTGAATAAATAAATTCTATAAATATGTTATCAAAATATATAGAATACAATAAGAAAGCAATAGGTATAAGATAAGCTCTACATTTCAAACTGAATGATATTCAAAATAATTAATAAATGTATAATAATTCATGTAATTCGATGCTCTCAAAATGTACCGCCGCCAATTTACAAAATTTCTACAAAAAATTACGAACTGTTCGTTCTAACCAGCCTAGTGATTACAGTGTTAATTAAACATTAGGAAAATAATAACAATACAAATTCAATTTCAGAATGGCAATTCGAGAAAGTTGATCTTTGGCAAAATGTTTCCGAATCTTCGATCCAGATCATTGTGTGCTTTGGTTACGGAAAGTAGAATGTCTTAGATAGTTATCTCGCTGCGACACGTTCCGCCGTTATTAATCCCGAGTTTCCGAGTTACGTTTCCGGCCACGAACAACAGGATCTATCGGGTTTATAGTACGTTAGCACACAGACTGCCTTCCACGGTACAATTGGGTCAATATTGTTCTATATTGATAGTTGACACACCTTCCGAACTCACGGTAAATTGGATCTTGTCTAATATCGAGAATAAAGAGAACACTATCACCACGACCATGTTCAACTTCGAACGTATGACGCATTCGTGAAACGATCTTGTAATTTGATTTTCCAGCAAGCTACGCTCCTTATTTGACGTCGCGAAATAATTGAAGCATTCAGCAGGAAACGGATAAACCGAGACGCTGGATTTCTTCTCCTTCCCTAATACGTTTCCCTACGACTTCTAATTTAAGCACATCCTTCTGTGAAAGTGTAAATTATATGTATAATAAAGCAGGATTAGATAAATTTCATAGTTATAATTTCCTTAGAAAGAATATTTTATTTTTCTTGTAAAGCAATATTTTACTTGTATATAAATTATGTAGATAATAAAGCAGGGTTAGATAAATTTCATAGTTATAATTTCCTTAGAAAGAATATTTTATTTTTCTTGTAAAGCAATATTTTACTTGTATATAAATTATGTAGATAATAAAGCAGGGTTAGATAAATTTCATAGTTATAATTTCCTTAGAAAGAATATTTTATTTTTCTTGTAAAGCAATATTTTACTTGTATATAAATTATGTAGATAATAAAGCAGGGTTAGATAAATTTCATAGTTATAATTTCCTTAGAAAGAATATTTTATTTTTCTTGTAAAGCAATATTTTACTTGTATATAAATTATGTAGATAATAAAGCAGGGTTAGATAAATTTCATAGTTATAATTTCCTTAGAAAGAATATTTTATTTTTCTTGTAAAGCAATATTTTACTTGTATATAAATTATGTAGATAATAAAGCAGGGTTAGATAAATTTCATAGTTATAATTTCCTTAGAAAGAATATTTTATTTTTCTTGTAAAGCAATATTTTACTTGTATATAAATTATGTAGATAATAAAGCAGGGTTAGATAAATTTCATAGTTATAATTTCCTTAGAAAGAATATTTTATTTTTCTTTTAAAGCAATATTTTATTCGTATATAAATTATGTACATAATAAAGCAGGGTTAGATAAATTTGACAATTATAATTTCCTTAGAAAGAATATTTTATTTTTCTTGGAAACGAATTTTTATTCGTATATAAATTATGTACATAATAAAGCAGGGTTAGATAAATTTGATAATTATAATTTCCTTAGAATGTATATATTATTTTTCTTCTTGCAAAGCGATAATTTATTTGCATATAAATTACGTATTTAATAAAGCAGAGTTAGATAAACTTGATAGTTAGAAATTTGTTATGATGAATACCTTATTTTAAATTATATAAAGGAATATCTTATTTGTATATAAATTGCGTAGACAATAAATTAATAGGAACAAACAAGTTTATTAGTTACAATTTCATATTTACAACGAATATTCTACGTTGTAACATACAAGAACATCCCCATTTCTATTTCCATTTGTTAATTAAAGAATCTTCAATTGTCATATTATATGTTTTAAGTAAAAAAATATAATCACACGAAAGTTAGTAAGTAATATTAGTAAGAAAAATTTCTCCAACTTAATTATGTGCATGCTTCAGATTGCAAATGCGAGAATAACAGCAATAGGGTAAAAATGCTCTTTCTAAGAATTGTAATGTCATCGTTAGTATGTTCTCTTCCAGAGAATCATCCTTCGCTATGGTATTGTCGATTTGAGGTGGTGCAGGTAACGTGCTGGAGGACACAGTATTGAACATCGACATATTTTGATGGAAATTCATCTTGGAAATGTTGGATATGTCGATCATCATCGATTGCAAACTCTTTGTCCTGGTTTCCGACTCGAAGTTGTCTTCGGTGTTCTGGTCAGCACTCAGCACGCTTTTCTTCACGTTGTGAATAATTGGTGAACAGCAACTAACGCTCTCCGCCATATCAGGGAAGATCGATTTCTGATGCAGTACCTCTTCTGCTGAGATTTCCTCTTTCTTCGAGCACAGAGACTCGCTTGTTCGTATTTTTGTCGTTTCTATTATATCTTGAGCACGTCCTTTACATATATTAAATGCATTTTTTAGATCAATGCGTTCCTGTAGTATCTGACCACCGTCCATATCGTCCAATTTGCTTTGGGTACTTTTAAATGCGATATATTCTTCTTCTAGGTCGCATAAAAGATTTTGAATGGCGTTTATGGAGACTTTTTCATCATTGATATCAAGTATCGCTTGAAACGTTTCTAACTGTTTCTTGAACGCTTCTCGTTTCAGTTTTAAATCTTTAATGAGCTTTTTTCGTTTGAGGGCCTTGAGGAGCTTCATTGTGAGATCACTTGCGATGCACAGTTGCTATTTATTGTGACGGGAATTAGGCCTCGCGATGCAATTAACGAGCTTACACAGTCGCTGCGAGATTCAAGTTATTGGGACTTGCTGCACTAATTATTATGATGGAGTCACGTGGCACTATGTGGTTGTCACTGTCATTGGTATACACACTTGTCTTGAAGGTTTAGTGCACGTGTATCCGGCTCGAAGGATCACAATGTTCGATCGTTTCGCGAAGAGACGCGTATCTTCTCGTTTCGATACGATAACCGACACCAAGAATCAACCGATCCTCTATTTCCAAGCGAAGATTTCTTAGCAAATCAAGGTTTTCTACTCGAAGACTTAGTAGCAAGTGACATGTGTTCAGATCTAAAAGTTAACAGCAAATGAAGTATCTTCTGTGTCGGTGAGATTTATAAGGAACTAGCGATGGGTGCTGGCCGTGCCCCATCAGTGACCCCTAGGACACTCGTAGGTGGAAATGACCCTCGAACATTGTACATGGGAAATGTAAATGTGTATTGTACATGTTTCGCCGGAATGGAGTATAATCCTAAGGAACGTCTTGAACTAAAATATATTGTTTGTAGTAATTAAGGGCCTCGACCGTAAGGAATGCTAAATTTCATAATGGTTCCTTAGGCTTACTACGGGCCCGAGTAAATAATTTCATAGAATAGAAGAAAATGTTACCCATGAAACGGATAAGATACAAAGGTTTATTGTGTCATTGTTAAATTTTGTTTCTCGAAATGCAATGTTTCTGTATGATATAATTTTATCAGTGCAAATATTGCTTTAGTGCTTTCGTGAAATACGATGCTATAAGGAAGGGAT